GCTTCTCTGGACGCCCCCACGCGGCTGCAGCTCCTACCCAGCTGCTGCAGCTCCTATCCGGCTGCTGCAGCTCCTACCCGGCTGCTGCAGCTCCTGACCACAGCGGCCTTGTCTGCTTCTGCCTGTCTGGACCTGGGTGTGTCCACGTCATCCGAAGGCTCCAACCCCGTCCCTCACCCCCTGCAGCTGTGCTGGGCACAGGAGGCCAGGCCTGTGGGCCTGCTGGCCTCGCGGATGACCCGCCTGCTACCGCCGCCGGCTGCTCACACTTGCTAGTGCACAGACTGGGCCATGGGGAGCTCGCCCTGTGGACTCGAGCAGAAACCGCAGGGGCCTCCGAGGCTATGGGTGCCCTCGCCAGAGCCACCGGCCTCCTGGGCCCACCCCACCCCGTGCGTGTCTGGACCACCTTTCTGTCAGGGCTTCTCTTCTGCACTGTCTGAAACAGCCTTTCTCTCCGTAAAATTTCAGTGTTTTATGTTTGGTTCATTGGTGCGTTTTAATTTGATTTTTCTTTTTTTTTTTTTTAAGACAATTACATTTAAGTTTTTTTAGTTCATGTTTTAGGTGTTGAGGTTTTTCTAATTTCTCACTTTTTTGCTGTGTGTTGTTTTCCGTTTTGTTCTCTGTGCTGTTTTAGCGTTTTAACCAAACAGTGTGGCTGCTCATGGTGAGGAACGGCCGCTCAGTGTGGGGTTTTTCCCTCTGGAGGCCGCTGCGCACTGGTGTTTGGGAGGCTGAGAGGTCTGCCTCCAGGTGAGTGGTGGCCCTGAGGGTCACGGAGAGGAGGGCCTGGGAGGCGTGCCCGACCCCATCCCAGGTCCCAGCAATGGAGCCACACGCCGCCAGGAGACAGGCCGTGCAGGAAGGTGGCCGGACACGCCCCGCCGGGCCTGCGCGGGCCTCGCCCTGCGGGGCATCCAGGTGCCGCTGTGGGGAGACAGCCGCCTAACACAGGCTCCTGCTCCGGCCTCCCAGCCCCTCCTTACTCTTCTCCAGGCAGTGCAGGTGTAGGGCCCGGGTCCAGAGCCGAGAAGCCCACCCAGCCCCGTGGGCACGGTGGCCAGCACTAGCAAGGGACGCTCCGCCAGCCCTGTGCACTCAGCCCTGCATGCCCAGCTGTGGCCGTCCTGGCCACTGGAGGGTGCTGAGCACCCCCGACTAATCCTCACCAGCGCCCGTGGTAGCCCCTTCTCCAGAAGTGACAGCTGGAGCCCCCAGGGGCATAGTCGCCCAGAGCCACCTCGCAGAGAACTCAGGGACCCTCCTCTGGATGAGCCTCCCTGTCCTGAGGCTGCAGTGACCCGGCGGGTCAGGCAAAGGCAGATCTCCGAGCCAGCTCTGCCTCTGGGGCTGCTGCCTCAGCTGAAGGCAGGCATGAGTTAGTCCAGAGTCACCCTCCAGACGGGGTGGGCACCCCCTTTGCAGGAAAGGTCCCTCGAAAACATGCCCTCTGGGAAGGCCCCAGAGCCCGTGGTCACTCTCCCGGGCTGTGCCCGACGAGGCCGGGCCCCCCCTGCACCAGGAGGGCGCGGAGCGCAGAGGCTGCCGCGCCCGCTGACGGGGGGGGCTGCGGCGGGGGTTGCC